CTTGGCGATCTCGAAGTCGGTACTTCATTGTGCTCCTCGATTCGACTCGGTTCATGGCGATCGGCCGGCATCGCTTTCCATCCGGTAGCCGAAGATGCCTTTTCAACAACCTGCGTGATTGTGTGCCGGCCCCCGCGACTGACTGTCGCATTGGAGCGTCGTCGTCATTCGGCGTCGAACAGAGATTTACGAACACTAAGCGTTATCCGCTGACCGTCAATCAGCACGGCCGGCGGCAGACGAACAATCAGGCCTCGGCCAGTTGTTTCTATAGCATAATCGTCTAGTTCACCCGTCGATGACCAGACCGGCAGCGGCGTTAGACCGAAAGCTGATTGACGAATGCCCTGCAGCTTAACGGGGATCCTACCTGATTAGCGTTTCAAAGACATGTTTCTAGAATATGAAAATTTCCGATTTCACGTCCTTGAACAGTCTAAACAGTGATAATAAATTCCATGGCTGAATATTAGCAAAACATGATCTGAGACTCGATTTGAGAGACTCAACGTTAATCGCCTTCGAATCATCCTCCTATAAGCGGCAACAGCAACACCAAACCAACCTCATTATATAGCACAACTTCATTTTGACCTGTCCGGGAACTGAATCGAAATGATCATGTGACGCGCAGTTACCATATAGGCTTTGTCCTGCTTCCCATACTGATCCACCAGTCAGTTTTATTTTTTATGGCTGGAAAAGTGTATTTTGGCAATTGACCTAATGACAATATCTAATGTTCTCAACATGTGTTCCCAGCTTATCAACAGTTTTGCGTTAACTCAGCATCATTGTATTCAACCTATTTGAAATCTACCGTATAGTAGATGGTTCGTGCTTAAGCAATTTTTCTATCTGAGAGCATCTCTGCATGGAAAAAAATACTGTCACTCCTTACGTGGTCCTGCTACTGTTACTCTGTGCTACTGTACGCCGCTCAACCGTCGTTCTTTCAGCTTTTTTCATATTTTTTTCACCTGAGGAGAGGTATACACCATTTGAGGAAAAATGGGTGGTACTGTTGCTGGAATTTAAATCGATCAACACTTTCAAGCACTGAATGGGTTCTTCATAACTACTGACATCCTGGCGTTACGACCGGAATAATCTCCCTTGCAGTACGTGAACGCTATGCTGTTAGGAGATCAAGTCAACCCACTAGGAATATACCCTACAAATTATAGCAATACTGACCCCAATAATCCGAATAAGGGAAATATATCATCCTGACTGTTGGAAGTCGTGTTAAAATATTCTAACATGGTCTTGCACCCATGTACTGCTTGCAGGTTCCAGCACTTCCTGAAATTCGATCATATCACTTGGCGAATATTACTCGTTTCTGCGCATTTTGTTTACACTATCTTACAGACCAACACTCAGATAGTCATTGTATTAAATTCCAAATTTTAGACTTTGCAAATCGTGATCATCAGAAAACGCCTTCACTTCAACCCCAGTTCGCGGTTACTTTGCTTCGCCAACGACGCCGACTTTTAAAGTGATGATATTCCGTAAACAGAATACAACACGACAGCTTCATAACAGTAATAGAGATATTACTATTATGGAACCTGCATAATCCGGCAAGTCTGAATGCCGCCTCCTAAAGCTGAATAGCGTTTCGCGGCTGTAGAGCAACGCGGAATAATGCACGCGACAAATCGAAACTTGAATTCGATGATGATCTTGTTGTCGTAAATCGATTGTGATAGAAATTAATGAAGAACTTTTCTAACGCGTTTTTAGGCCAATTCACAAATCATATTCCCATGCCGGGAATGCCGCACTAAAAACTGTGTTACTAATAACTAACATTGGCTTGGAATCAAACTACAACAGCAAAGAAGTTACAATGGCAATGAGCAAAACGCGTTGCAAGAAAAACAGGCAGTAAAACAAACACTGCGCAGAGCTCTGGCAGGAGAAGCTCTAGGTCAATATTACGCATAGTTTCTCACATCTGCTTGACTCATATTGAAAAGGCCTTTGTTTAACTGTCTATGAAAAAAGGCTGATGATGATGCAGATAGCTCTTCTTAAAGGAAAAATCGTTGAAGCACATATCTCCTTAAAGAAAGAAAGGACATGATCATGTTTATCAGGTCCCGACACCACTCTCCGTTAAGTACGTTTTGGCTCCTTTCCTTACGATCCGTTCCTTTCGACCCCTTACCGTCAAGCTCCGTTACTTTCGGCTCCTTTTCTTCACGTTCCGTCCCTTTCGTCACCTTCCGCCTAGGTCCACCTCTGCTGCTTTCCGTCACTTAAAGTCCTCGTTATTTCTGCATAAAAGTCGAATAAGAATAAATTAAGCCTACTTCGTGCAGTTCAACTGCGAATTATCTACGGCAGCTTCTACCACAAGAGGAGTAATTCGGTTTAAGGCCTGCCGGCTGTTCTGCAGACATGACAGTGAGCAGATGCCGTTTTAGCCAAAAATTTCAGTCCATCCAAGAGGCCGTATCAGCGAATTACAATAAACAATCGATCCGACGTATCATATAGGTAAATGCCCATCAGTCAGTCAGTCAGTCAGTCAGTCAGTCAGTCACCAAGACGACAGGAAAACCTCCCCACTTGATATCCAAACCTCCCGTAATGGGCAGGTCCAATACGGTCATTAGCAAGACGTCGATATGCCTTATCACATTATAGGCGCTTAGCGTGGAAGTCAAAACAAGCCAGCTACCTTGCCGATTGATTCGACGAATCAGCTTATTCGAGAAATGACGGTAAGAGGTTACCTTTCCCTCATGAAAGGAGATCCCTGCGTTGCTTCCGTTTCGTCCGTTTCAGTTCGTTTTGCTTCTTTCGCTTCTGATCCATTCCGCTTTGTCCCTTTCGGCTCCTTTCAACGCCACGTTCCATTCCTTTCGTCCCCTTACAGTTACATTCCGTATATTTCGGTTCATACTCGTCACATTCCGTCCGTTTCGGCTCCTTACCGTCACACTCCATCCCTTTCGGCTCTTAGCGTCACATTCCATCCCTTTCGGGTCCTCATCGTCAAATTCCGTACCTTTGGGCTCCTTACCGTCAAGTTCCATTCCTTTCGTACCCTTACAGTTACGTTCCGTATATTTCGGTTCAAACTCGTCACATTCCGTCTCTTTCGGCTCCTTTCCGTACGTTCCGACCTTTCGGCTCTTTTCCGTACGTTCCATTCCTTTCGTCCCCTTTTTGCCATATGCCATTCCTTTCGTCTCCTTTCGCCTCCGTCACTTTCGCCTCCATTCAACGTCACGCTCCGTTCTTTTTTCTCCTTTCCATTACGTTGAGTACATTTCCGCTCCTTTCCGTCACTTGAGCCCTTTCGGCCCAATTCCATTACGTTCCGTCGTTTCGGCTCCTTTCCATTAAGTTCCGTTTCCTAAAGTCTTCCTCGTCATTTAAGCAGAAAAGTCGAATAAGAATAAGTTAATCCTACTTCGTGCAGTCAACGGCAGATGATCCTCGAGTTCGTGATATCTACGGCAACGGCCACGAAAAGAGGACCCATTCGGTTTAAGGCATCGCGGCTGTTCCTGCAGTCATTATATGACCAGATGCCTTGTCATCCAAGAGCCGCATCAGCGAAAAGAGTTGCGTGCAAACCTATCACATAGGTAAATGCCCACCAAGACGACAGAAAATCATCTCACTTGATATCCAAACCGCCCGTAATGGGCACGGTCCATTATGGTCATCAACCAAAGGTCGCTCTGCCCTATGAAGGAATAGGCGTTTTGCCTCGAAGAGCAAAAGAAAAACCACCTACCTTGCCGCTTGATTCGAAGAACCAGCTTATTTGGGAAAAGATAGTAAGAGGCGGCCTTTCTCTCGTCATCAGATAGATCCCGACGTCGCTTTCCGTTCCGTATTTTTCGGATTCTTCGGTTGGTTTCTTTTCCGTTCCTTTCGGTTCCATTCTTTTCCAATCTGTTCCTTTGCGCTCGTTGCGTTCGTTTCCCACAGTCTACGTTTCCACTTCCGTACAAAATAAATCAACAATATTCCGTGTAGTTGAAAAGCCGACTATCGCAGAGTTCGTGATATCCACGGTAGCTAACATAAACGGAGCAGACACTACGGTCATCCATTATTTTCACCCGTCCACTGTGTTCTTACGGGCAGCACTACGAGAATGCACCGTGTCATCCAAGTATTTCAGGCTATCAACTATCAAGACAGCCGCACAGCTAAAAGATTGCTTACGAGAGAAGAAAATATAAACGGAAAAGATATCACGCATATCAGGTATAGAAATACACACCTAGAAACCGCAAAGAAACTTGATTTGACAGCCAAATGTCAAAGCGTAAAGCCATGGTTCATTATGGCCACCAGCTCAATGGCGTTGTACCCTATGAAAAAATAGGCCTTTAGCACGAAAAGCTTATCTACCTTGCCCTTTGATTCGACGAATGAGACTGTCCACAAAATAATAGTACGACGCAGCTTTTCCCTCTTTCGACGAGATCCAGACGTTCCTTTACCCTTTGATCCTTTCCTTTCCGTTAGTTCCTTTCGGTTGTATCATATTCAGTTATTTTTCCTACACTATTGGTTGCCACTTCCACATAAAAGCCGAATAACAATAAATAAAGCATACTCTGTGCAACTGAACGGTCGATTATCCTAGAGTTCATGACACCTACGGTATCTTCCATGAGAATATGAGTCATTCGTGCCATCCCACTGGTTGAAACCGTTCGCTGTGTTCTTACAGGCATGAACGTTACCATGTGCAGTGTCAGTCAGTGCTACAGACCATCCAAGCGGTATGCGCTAAAAGCGTTATTAGCGATAAAACAAAACAACAAAACATGTGAAGCATATCACACATAAATACACATCTAGAAGCTGCAAACAAACTCGTCACTTGATAGCCAAACCTTTCGCAATAGGCATGTTCCATTACGGCCATCACCTGGATGGCATTGTACCCTATAACAGAATAAGTGTTTGGCGTGGAAATGCGAGAAAAAAACCATCTGCCATGAACTACCATCCAGGAGGCCGCGGCGCGTAAAAGCGTTCCTTACGATAACACAAAATAAAGGGAAAACGTATGAAGCACATCACATATAAATAGCCACTAGAAGCCGTAAACAAGATCGCTACTTCATAGCCAAACTTTTCGTAATAGGCATATTTCATTACGGTCATCACGTGGATGGCACTGTACCCCATGAAGGAATATGTTTACCATCGAACGACAAGAGCGAATCCGTCTACCATGCCCCTTGATTAGAGGAATGACACTGTCCTCGAAATGACAGTAGGATGCCACCTTTACCACAAGTTCCCTTCCGTTCCTTTCATTTCGCTTCGTTTCCGCTTCATTAAGCTCCTTTCCTTTCGGTTCGCTTCCGTTGCTTTCTGTTCCGCTCCTTTCTTCTCCTTTCTGTCCTTTTCCGTTACGTTCGTTTCGGTTCCGTCCTTGCCATTTCAACATAGGTGTCGAATAACAATAGATTAATCATACTTATGTAGCTGAAAAGCCGACTATCCTAAAATTCGTGGTATGCACGGTAAGTGTCATGAAAAAACATCCATCCGTGCCATCACCCTAGTTTAAGGCATCCGCGATGTTTTTAAAGGCATGAATATGACAAGGGGCCGAATCAGCCAAGTATTCCAAGCCACTGAGGGGACCGCATTGGCAAAAATCGTTACTTACGTTAAAAACAAACGCAAAACATATCAAGCATATGAAATACATAAATACACACCCAGAAGCAGCAAAGAAATCGGCAGCTCTACGGCACGGCACACTATGAGAGAATAGGCGTTTGGCATGGAAAGACGATAGAGAAACCACTTACCTTGTCGCTTGATTCGAGGAATGAGATAGTCCTTGAAATAATAATACGACGACACCATTCCCTGGTCCAACAGGAAACCCCGTTCCGTTCCGTGGCGCACCTTTCGGTTCGTTTGCGCATCTTTCCGTCATTTCCTTTTCGGGTGCGTTGCTCATTTCCTTTCGGCTGCTAACCGCTCCTTCAGATACCAGCCGCCGTGTCTGCAACGGAACTGAAACGGAGACTACGAGGAGTTCAGCAGTATAAATAGCCAAGTCCCAATGCAAATCACGTGAAAATTCAACTTATTTACATAATGCTGATGCAGACACTACGAACACTATCAAGAAGTTTTACATATCATTCTGGCTATTGCATAATTAGGGTATTTTACATAAACTTGTCACTCACTGGACGAATGAAGATACAGAAGTGGTTGAATACGCATGCAAATAACGTACAACTGCCACTGACCATGTCTGACAAACCTGTCCTGAAGGTACAGATTTACAGATACAGATTTTGTGTCAAATGTTAGAAATGCCCGTGGAACTCGCTGACAGAAAACTTCATTTAACAAAGTATATACTGTATTACAAATACGGCTTTATTTGTATAAAGATGACGTAGAATATTCCCAGCTACACAGCCAACAGAACGAATGTTGCTGATCTCGAGTGCCTGTCGGTCTATGAGCATGAAATAACGGGTATCAATATCGGAACATAGGCTAAGTAGTAAAAGGCCTTCCACAACCTCGTCGTTTTGTCGACGTCCCAGCTTCAAGTTTGAAAAATACGACCCTGCAAGAGAAACAAGCAACCAGTAACAACCAAAAACTACACACGAACTTTGCCAAGAACTGCGGGATCGGCATCTTGAAGTCTGA